TCATTGTTGATTATAGTTTATATTTTCATATTTCATATTTTCATACTCTTCATTACAGAAAATGCACAGTTCATTACGGAAAATGCACAGTTCTGGGGCTGGTGAGATGGCTCAGTGGTCTAAAGCACCTACTTAGAACAAGCTTAGCAAAGCACAGGGACCGCGGTTCAATCCCCCAGCACCACATGCCAGCCAGCCCCGCCCCCTGGTGGGCTGAGCTGGCTACACACACACACACACACACACACACACATAAATAAATAATAAAAAAATTTTAGAAAAAACAAAATGCACAGTTCTGTGTGATTCTGAGCCACAGCCACCAATACTATCATTAACCCAAGTTAATTAGGGACCTAGCTAGCAAATGGCTGTGCAACACAGTGAGACTCCATCTCGAAAGTAAATAAGTAAAGCAGATAATGGTGTAGCAACTAGCCATAATTGGCTTGGGGCTCCAAGCTGCACAGCTGTAGGGGTGCAAGACCTTCCTGTGCCTCCCTATAGTCACAAAAAGCTACTTTCTGGCTTTCTGTCCTTCTTCAGTTTTTGTTAAGCAGTTGCTTCTTCAGGTTTGATTACACCAACCCAAGTATAAAATCCAACACTTCTTAGTCTCTTCTGACCCCATGTTACGGCTCATGCTTAGACGTTCTTTCCAAAGCCTTGTGTGCCCACAATGGGCCCTTCAAGGTGGCTGGATCTAGGGTATGTGCTGCGGGGATCCAGGTGTGTGAGTCCCAAATCAGTCCACTGATCAGCCTGCCATACTCTGGGGAGGATTAATGGTGTCCCACTCTGGGTGAGAACGCTATCTGCCCTCCGGGTGGGCAGACTGGGTAAGATATAAGGGATAGAAAGGGCATCAGGGGTTGCAGGTCACTTGTCAATTGGCACTTGACGCCACGCTGCTGTCTGCTACCTGCTCATTTTGCTATGCCATCAAGTGTTTCTTTTGCCACCACTCTGCCTTGGAGCCAGACAACTAAGAACTGAAACCTCTAAGGACTGTGAGCCAAGTAAACCTGTCCTCCTTTAACTTTTGGTGTCAGGTATTCGTCTCAGTAAGGAATGAAGTAACTGAGACACCGGAAGCCCCCAGAGTCCAGTTACAGAAAGCACCCGTGAGAACAGCTTCACATGGGAACACAGCTTCTCCAGTCCACGGCCGCTGCCAGCGCCTGCCCCTGACCTTTGGTCCCAAGTCCTGCGCACACTAAAGAGGAGGCCTGGCTGCCAAGCTCCTCCTTCCCTAGACACACCCACCAGGCGCTTCACACCTCTCCATCTTTCCTCCTCTTCCTCGTTCTTCCCTCTTTTACTTTCGCTCTTTCTCTTTCTAGTAAAAAAAGGTTTTCTTATGAAGACAAACTTCTTTTTGAAGCCGCCACATAATTTCAACATGGACAAGTCATTTAGTGAAACTGCACCACCCCCGTCCACTAACTCTCCAGTCTTTCGATCTTCCTTCATTTGCAGTGTGTAACCCCGGGTTGACCGGACCACTGTGTAGGTGGCCATGGACGCTGAGGTCACCGTACTGTATATTTTCCAACACCTTGAACAATGTGTATTCAGGAGCTCTGTTTCCTTAAACTGACTCCCTTCCCACACCCACTGGTCCCAAAGCTTCTCCACGATGCCAGCACAGAGAAGGACAGGGACCAGGTGACACGCTGACCTGCCGCACAGACAGAGCTAGGAAATTCCACAGAGGAAAGATCACTGGATGCCCATAACCGCAGCACTGAAACGATCCTCATGCGCAGGACTTAAATGAGTGAATCTGGGCAGGGAAAGGGATCTTAGCGATGTCTACAGGTATGCCACTGGCAAGAGCGAAGAAGCGAGCTGCATCTGGGCTGGCATTGCAGCAAGGAGACGTGGGAAAAAAGAGAGGCAGAGCCACATTGTGGGGGATACCCAGAGACGCTCCTGGAGTCTGACCTTATCCTTGAGCTCAGGGGAGTCACCAACAGTATCTGGGGCTGAGAAGAGAGTATACAGCATAAGGTTTCTTACTGTTAGAGTTTGTGTCTTATGTCCCCACAAAGCCTTACGGGTCATAAGGCGCAGGCTTTTCAGAGGCAGCTGAATCCAGGGTTTGTGATTGATTCATGGTCCAGTGTTGGGATTATGGATGTGAGGGCGATACCCACCACGCAGCATATGCTACAAGGAGCAGTCTTGTCTCTCTCCTCTCTTGTTGCCTTTGTTGTCTTCTGCTGCCATGAACTGCTGCGCTTTGCCTTGTACCACTGTGCCTTGGAGCTGAATCAAGCTTTCCTCCTTTAACTTTGGGTGTTGGGTTTTTATCTCAGCAATGAGAATAGTAACCAAGACAATGATTATGAACCACAGACACATGCTGCACGGGCATGTGGGATAAAAGGACCCTTGGAAGCAGCAGGTCCCATCAATTATTTTAGAACAGTATACAGGACAGCTAGCACTGAAAGGGTCGCAAAGACAGGAGAAAGGACTGGGGCACAAGAGGCAGAAAAGGTGACTCCTTAGGCCTGGCTGGCTGGCTCGGTGGTGAGAGGGAAGGGAAATTAGAGAACTAACTTCTGGGGTTTTTTAGGATTTCTCTTTATATTGGGCATTTGTTACTTTTAGCAGTGGAACCCGAGCTCTCCCCTTTCTTCAGGCCTGCTGCACCACCTCAGCCTCCATGCTGCCTTGGTTGGCTCAAGGCTGGGAACAGGAGCATCTGAGCCCTGCAGTCCCTTTCTAGGGAGTTTGGAATTGGGCCACTGAAGTAGAGGGTGGTTATCCTCTGAGCAGGGGCCTTTTGCTTCCTATTGAACTATAAAGTTGAAAAAGTTGTTCTGTGGCAGGAGATAAAAAGAAAGTGGAAGTGAAAAGGAAAGGACAAGGTGGAGCCTAAAGGCTAGGTCTGGGTTCTCCAAGACACCTAAATCTCTGCACTTGAGGGTCCTTAGAGGCCAGTGCAGCCTTCCGCATGAAATGTGGAGGGTGTCCCTGTCATGCAGACACCCACTCACTCTCGATTGAGCTGCCGCAGCAGGGTCCCTGTGCCTTGCAGCCCCAGCGGCCCAGGCTGATGTATTTGCCAGCACAAAGCCTTCGTCTCCAGCGGCGGGGCTCCGGCTGCCCTCCGCACACTCCAGATCTTTCCTGACTCTTTGCACTTCGCGGCCATCCTTCTTCCCGAGCCTCTCTGCCTTTCCATCTTGCGACTCTGCCTGTGTAAATCGTGGCTGCTTTGCCAAACTTTCATCTGTCTTTATTTAGCTCTTCTTGATGAATCCATAATACCTGTCAGTTGTAATGTTGTATTTTTCCACTTGAAGCTGCCGGGTTCAGTGAACTTATTTAGAAGAATTTTAAAATTTACCTGAATAGGGGGATGGGCAGTGAGGAATCTATGTTCTCACACATATAAATTAATCAAATTCAAGGGCACCAAAGCCTTCTAGGCTACTAATATCTCGGACTTGAAGATGAGCTTGTAAAGATACGAGTGGGCCATCTAACCAAAGTGGATATGACATTAGGAACTGCGTTATTTAGGAAAGAAAGAAGATTGGCAGTTCTCTGCACAAGTCATACACACCGTGTTACTGTGTAAGTGCCACAAATCCAACCTGTACCTGTCTAGCGCAGGTTCTGTGGTGAGAAAAAGCCAGACTTGGAGCCTGCCAGTGCTGATTCCAACTCCAGGGTTCTGTCTAGTGTGCCACAGACATCACAGCAAACGAAAAAGAAATATATATATATATGGATATATATATATATATATATATATATGGATATAGGGTCTTCCTATGCTACTCAGACTTGTCCTGCCTCAGCTTCCCCAGTGCTGGGATTACAGGCATGCACTACCATGCCCAGTTTCGGGCCGGCACGGCATGAGGTACCAGGGGTCAGACTTGGGACCTGCACTTGCCAGGCAGGCGCTTAGACTGCCAAGCTATTTCCCAAGCCTCAATATATCATTTTTATGAAACAAAAATATTCAGTTTTGTCTCTCTTCAAATATTTTACACTATATTGTAGAAATCATTTATTAAACATAGTAATAGACCCCAAGAATGACTTGAATCTCATGCCCAGCATATATTATATGGCAAAACAGCCATTGTTCTCATCTGAAGCAACAGAAAAGAGCTTTCAGAAAGACTCCTGTTTGACCCTCAAAGAAAGAAAAGCAAGGTGCTATCCTGCAACATCTCACATGAATGCAGGGCCCAGAGGGTCGCCTTTCCCTCCAGCAACAGATCCTTGGCTCTGGTGCCCATAATGCCTTGGGAGGGGAGAACCCAAGACTGCCTCGCGAAAGCAACATGATGTCTTCCAAGCGGATGGACATTTCATGAGCAGGATACTGTGCCAGGAAATAGCTAACGTCTGTTTCTGCTCATTCAAATGAATATCCTTGAAGCCCCAAATATTCACACCAGAAGATCACAGGAGCGACACTGGTGAGTATGACACTATTGAACAAAAAGGGCTGCTGCGAAGCAAGACAGAAATGCTGTTTACACGAAAGGGAAAGGGTCCTTGGTGAATACCCAGAGGAAGCCGTCATTTCCATAACCGGAAGAGGCACTCTGACATGGCCTCATTTCCAGGGCGAGACCCCGCGAGCTGCCCTGTCGAGTGTTTCTCCCCGCCTTGCTGGCCTTACGTCATCATCCCTGCTGTTTTACTAACCGGCATGGTTCTGCTTTGGGTTTTGTCTTATGTCTTATTTCCCCGTTTGCCTTGGCAGGAAACACCACCGCGCCGCACTGCTTCCAGCGGCCCTCCTTGTAACACAGAATTAATTTTTGGTGTTTCTCTCATAAAAGCTCACTTAGATTTTCCTCCCAGTAAAAACTGCTGCACGTACATCAAAGGAGTTTCTCCTAGCAGCGACCATAAGCGATGTCCTTGTCTGGATTTATGGAGCCTGCCATGTCGTGTCTGTTGTCCAGAGAACAAAGCGCAGAGCAGCTCCAGAGGGAAGAGAGAAAAGCTGAGACACTCACCTGCATCACAATAAGGAGGTCAAAGACCAAGATGAAGGAGGCGAGGAATGCTCTGGAAACCTCGTCACTGGGCAAAAACCCCCGATTCAGCTTGTCCCAGCTGATCCAGTCGGTGGTAATGACAAGTACGACCACAGAAGTCAAAGTAAAGAGGACGGTCCTGCAAGGAGAGGGACACTCATTGCGTTACTCAGAATAACACAGAGGCTGAGAGAGCACGGCTCCTACCAGTCCCCAGGGCGAGGCACGCTCACCAACGTACAGACAAAGAAAGAGGAAATTAAGTGCTTGCTTTCCAAAACAATTAGGCAAAGTTACGATAACATCTCTTCGGAGAGTTTCCTTAAAGAACAATAAAGTAACAATTAAGAAACAAATAATTAACAGCAAAATATTAAAAATGACCTTGGTTAGTGCAGTAAGTATCCCAAAGAGAACATTGGTGTGGAGTGCTCATTACAACGTATATTGCTCAGCAGAGGCAGCAGCACACACACACACACACACACACACACACACACACACGCATGAGGCAGCTGCTAAAGAATGAGGGAGGCCTTGGGCTCTGCTGTCCTCTGCTGAAGAAGGGGGTAGCTGGCAGGTCGCATGACTAGCCCTGCGGTCTGATGAGCTCATTAGAGCAAGGGCTGCCGAATCCAAGCCGGGTGGCTTTTCCTCCTCGCAGGACACACACACAATGAAGAGCTGCAGTCTACAATTGCTTTGAGTGCTGTGTCATCCATTCTTTTCTTGGTGTTCCCATAAAATCTTGGATAGTTCCTCACAGATTTAAATCAATGAGTACGTGTTGAGCTTAAAGCATTCTATGTGATTTAAAATCGTCAATTTACACTTTAATACAAACACTCAGAACAGACCTGCAATGCAGGCAGTGGCCATTTGATCAGCCACGCACTGGCTGGAGGCAGCTTAGCCTTTGTCCTCAGGGTGAGATTGTTACCTGGAGCTTTTTTAAAACTTAAGAAGAAAAAACTCTGAACATTTAAAAAGGCATTGATGAAGGGAATCCAAAAATCAAACGGAAAGATACCTCGTGTTCATATAGTTGAAGAATATTTCTCACACATCCGTATGATACCCAGTGATCTCCTGATCCATTGCAGTTCCTATAAAGTTTTTGATGGCATTTCTTTTCACAATAGAAAAACGATTCTAAAATTCATACGCAGCAATAACAGATTGTTAGAAGCTAAAGGAATCTTGAGAAAGAAGCTTGGAGACATTACACTTCCTGATTCTAAATTGTATTACCAAGTCCTAATAATCAAAATGGGAGGATACATGGAATAATTTATAAAAATAAGAACCCAGAAATAAATTCCCACACATAAAATATCAACTAATGTTTGACAAGATCACCAAGCGCACAAAATAGGGGAATAGTAGTCTCCTCAATAAATGGCATTGAAGAAAATGAATATCCTCATGCAAAACAATGAAATTAGATCCTTATACTATATAACAATCTAATTAGTTCACAGAAAACTAAAGACTAATATATAAGGTCTAACCCTCCTGAGTATTTGATTTGTTTAATATATTTCATGTATCCAATGTATAATACTTTTTAAAATTAATTAACTTTATTGATACACATTAAGCATACAAGGGTCACATTCATCATGGGGAGTTTGTTACTGTACATGATATAACTTGATTATTTTTCCCCATTCACTTACCTTCCCTTCAACTCCTCCTGCCTACTTTGTATACAAAAACTTTGTTTCCACTTTTATTTCTTTTTCTCTTGTTTTGTCTTTTCCCTTCCTCCTTTCCTAGTTTCCCCTCTCATTTGAACATTTTCTTCCTACTTCACAATACCTCTTATACATCTTGGTCCTTATTTACAATTTTGGTTTCTCACATCAGATAAACAATGTTGCATTTACACATATGTATCTGATTTATTTTACTTAAAAGCATGGTCTCAAGGTGCATCCATTTACCTAGCAATGTCTCGAGCTTATCTTCTTTATGGCTGAGTAGTACTCCATTGTGTAGGAAAAAAAACACAACTTCTCTATTCTTCAGTTGCTGGGAGCTTGAGCTGTACTCAAGATTTGGCTACACAAATGGTGCCCTATAAATATGAATGTGCATATATCAACATAGAATGATGCTTTCTTTTGGGAAGATACCAAGCAGGGGAACAGCTGAATTTAATGAGGCCTGTAATTCTAGTGTTTTGAGGAAGCTCCACACTGATTCCCACAGTTGTTGCACCAGTCTTCACTCCCATTGACAGTGGAGAAGCGTTCATTTTTCCACACAGCCCTGCCAGCATTTGTTTTTGGCTGATTTCTTGATGATGGCCATTCTTTCTGGGGTGAGATGGAATCTCAGTGTTGATTTAATTTGCATCTTTAAATGACCAATGATGGTCAACTCTTTTATGATATTCATTGCTGTTTCTACTTCAATCTGACAAATGTCTACTCATTTCATACACTCATTTTTCAACTGGCCTTTAAATTGGGGGGTCTGATATTTTTTAGTTTTTTACACATTCTAGATAGTGGTCCTTTTGAGCAACATTTGGCAAAAACTGTTTTCCACTCTCCTGACTCTTCACTTTGTGGCTTCTCTTGCTGTGCAACAGCTTTTCAATAAGATGAGATCCCAGTTGTTGGTTCTTTGTGATACTTGCTGTGCAACTGGGGTTTTGTTCATAAAGTCTTTACCTACACCAACGTCTCCAACATTTCTACATATTCTGTCACTTATGATCATCTCATCAGATGCAGAAAAAGCATTTGACAAAATCTAACACTGATTCATGATCAAAAACTCTGCAGAAAATTAGAAGAGAGAGTCTTTATTTCATTCTGATAAAAATCTATGTCAAACCAACAGCCAACATCATACTAAACAGACAAATCCTGAGAGCTTCCACTCTAAAATTATGAACAAGAAAAGATATCCTCTGTCACCAACCTTAGTTAATATCATTCTGGACACATTAGCCAGAGAAATTAGGGGAAAGAAATAGAAGGAATAATAATAGAATAGGAAGAAGTTAAATCATCCAGTAAATAATACCCGTAAGAGATCTTTGCATCTTGCCGGTTCCATTATTGCTTCCGTTTTGGCAGAGGGCAGTGCTACAGATCACAAGAAACAGTCACTAGTAGCATTTTATTACTCCAAAGGGAAATTAAAGGAGATATTCTGCCTAGTATTTAATATTTAATACTACAAAAGGAATAAAAATGGCAGTCATTAAATATGAATGCATACAGCTCAGAAAAAGAATCTTAAAAATAAAACCCCAAGAGATTGGAAAAAAGAAAAGAAATTGGGAAACCAAAACACAATACATTCACTGATCAGACTGTATTTAAAACCATGCTCTACATTAGATAGATAATGTATCATAATGACAATTCAGTCAAAACCTCTAGTTTGAAAGAGTTAGGACTCAGAAAGGTGAAACAAAAGCAGTCTGTTTTATGCAATACCGCCACAAAAGCAATAATCAATAATAGCACGTTACTGTCAGCACTATATGGCACTTAGGATACGTGAGACACGGTGCCAAGGCCTCGCACGTTCTCTCACATCATCTCCGCCACAAGGGCATCATCATCACTCCTAATATACACGTATAGAAGCTGAAAGGCACTTAACTCCACCTACTCCATTGAAGACTTCATCCATCACACAGGACATAGGACAGAGGGGACAGCAGATGACCCAGCACAGCCTGTGCCATTGCCCTGCATGGGCCCCCCACAGGAAGAAGTTGAATATCAACACCTGCTACTGTCTTTCTACCTAGGATATAATTTGCTTTTATTTTTCATTCTACTATTGGAAAAATATTATCTCAAGTACTTCTCATTTGAAAATAGAAGAAGGAGACAGGTACTGGCAGGAGACAGCTAAAACAATCTGTGACAGTGAAAACGGAACTCGGCGAATAGCAGCCATCTCCTCAACATCCCTGGGTTTTATTTAATCAATATAGTTGAAAAGAAAGATGTTCATTCTGGACCACTCTGAACTTGGGGAGTACCAGCTTCCCTTTTAAGTAGGATCCAATTAAACAATTACCTGGATTCTTTTCCTTGCAGACAGACTGCAGTCAGTGCCAGCGTGACATCCTGGCTCAGCAGTTCCACTCCCTCTGGTTTCTGGCCACCAGCCAAAAGAAAAGAACTCATACATAATTAGCAGCTTGAGTGGTTCCTCTCTTCACTCTCCTGGTTTCAAATTTCTACTTAGCCTGTATTTTTTTCCTGCTACTGAAGTTTCTTAAATTAATAGGATTTGGGATGTGCCACTAGGAAGGGTTAACCGATCTTTCCATTCTGGTGGCTCCCCAACTCCAAGGTAGGCTCCAGGGCACCACAGAGTTATGGCTAAAGAGTGAATGCATATTTACTCTAAGTTGTTGGTAAAAAGAAGTGAACAAATACATCACTGCCAGAGGTTAGTGCACTTACTTGTGTCATATAGTGTGCCAGTGACACAAGCAACAAGAAGTGAGATGCACTGACACTGAGCAAGGGTTGGCATTTCAAAGGTCATCTTTTCTATTGAGCCAACAATGTGCAGAAATTACCCCAAACTGAATCACTTTGTCATTTGTTGAAGACAGCCCTAGCTGGTCTACTCTAATACCCATTATAAATGGTGAATAACACAAAGAAAGTGCAGATCATTCCTAAAACAGTTTGATTTATAATCTTATCCTACCTTCCATCCTAAATTCTGGATTTAAAAAAATGAGCTTTGTCAGAATCTAAACTTGGTTAAGCTGGTTTTTTTTTTTTTTTTTCACTCATTACCACTTTAAGGTGATATATTGAGTAGTCAAACAGCCTGAAAGAAGGATCAAGGCATGGAAGAATGGGCATTAGGCCTCAATAAGCCACAAAGCACACACTCATTTAGGGTTAATTACTATGCAGTTTCATCATCAGTAAGCCAGGTAGCAGGAATGTGCAGAATTACCTAAGTTAAATCAAATAAAATTGCCAATGTTTGATCAAGCTGTTCTACTAAAAATAGCAATTTCATGTGATCAAGTAAAATAAATATGCTTTTATGTGTTTTAATATATTAGTCATTACTGTATTTTCATTCTAAAATGTTCATAATTTTTTATTCTAGTCATGAATATCATCTGAATGAATA